AGGCATGCTAAGGCACAGGAAAATCAACAAGGTGCTTGGTGACAGCCAGCATAGCTTCACTAAGGGGAAATCCTGCCTGACCAATTTGGTGGCCTTCTATGATGGGGCTACAGAACTGATGGACAGGGGTAGAGCAGTTGATGTCATCTACCTGGACTTGTGTAAAGTGTTCGACACTGTCCCACACAACATCCCTGTCTCTAAATTGGAGAGACATCAATTTGACGGATGGACCACTCAGTGGATAAAGAACTGGCCAGATGGCCGCATGCAAAGAGTTGTGGTTGATGGCTCAATGTCTGGCTGGAGACCAGTAACGAGTGGTGTCCCTCAGGGATCGGTGATGGGACCAGTGTTGTTCAACATCTTTGTTGGCAACATGGACAGTGGGATTGAGTGCACCCTCAGCAAGTTTGCCAATGACACCAAGCTGTGTGGTTCGGTTGATACCCTGGAGGGCAGGAATGCCATCCAGAGGGACCTTGACATGCTTGTGAGGTGGGCTGATGCCAACCTCATGAAGTTTAAGCATGACAAGTGCAAGGTCCTACACCTGGGTCAGAGCAATCCCAGGCACAGCTACAGGTTGGGCAAAGAAGAGATTCAGAGCAGCCCTGCAGAGAAGGACTTGGGGGTGTTGGTTGATGAGAAAATGAACACAAGTTGGCTTCAGTGTGCTTTTGCAGCCCAGAAAGCCAACCGTATCCTGGGCTGCATCAAAAGGAGCATGACCAGCAGGTCAAAGGAGGCGATCCTGCCCCTTTACTCTGCTCTTGTGAGACCTCACCTGGAGTATTGTGTGCAGTTCTGGTGTCCTCAACATAAAAAGGACATGGAACTGTTGGAACAAGTGCAGAGGAGGGCCACGAGGATGATCAGAGGACTGGAGCATCTCCCGTATGAAGACAGGCTGAGGAAGTTGGGGCTGTTCAGCCTGGAGAAGAGAAGGCTGTGTGGAGACCTCATAGCAGCCTTCCAGTATCTGAAGGGGCCTTATAGGGATGCTGGGGAGGGACTCTTCATTAGGGACTGTAGTGATAGGACAAGGGGTAATGGGTTAAAACTTAAACAGGGGAAGTTTAGATTGGATATAAGGAAGAAATTCTTTCCTGTTAGGGTGGTGAGGCACTGGAATAGGGTGCCCAGGGAATTTGTGAATGCTCCATCCCTGGCAGGGTTCAAGACCAGGTTGGACGAGTCCTTGGGTGATATGGTTTAGTGTGAGGTGTCCTTGCCCACGGGAGGGGAGTTGGAACTAGATGATCTTAAGGTCCTTTCCAACCCTAACTATTCTATGATTTTATGATTCTACGTACCTGGTACATACTACTTTTATTATTTATATAACTTTTCTGGAAAAAAAATGCTAGTTTGAAGAAAATGTAGCAGTCATATTAATACCCTCATTACTTCAGCAAATAAGATACTTCTGACACTTCTAGCTGAATGAGTTCCAGATTGTAGCAGAACGTGTTGTCATTAACCCTCAGTCCTACACGCCTGCTTGATTTTTCAGTTTATACCACATTTAATGGTTATCCATAACTATTCCTCTAATCCTCACAGTTATACATCTTCCCCTAGATATCTTTATAATCTTCAGCATGTATGACTGTCAGCCACATCATTAGGATTTAATTAATATATGCTCCAATTTTTGGCACAAAATTATTGTCGTGGTTTAAACCCAGCCACTCAGCTCATTCACTCACTCCCCCCATTCCTCCCCCCACTCCCGGAGGGATGGGGAGGAGAATCAAAAGAATGCAACTCCTATGGGTTGAGATAAGAACAGTCCAGTAACTAACATATAACACAAACCACTGCTGCTACCACCAATAATAATAATGATAGAGGAAATAACAAGGGAACAGAATACAATACCTCATCACCTGCCGACTGATAACTCGCCCCACCCTTCCCAATCGAGCACCTAGTCCAACCCCGCAGTGAACTAGCTCTTCCAGGTAACTCCCAGTTACATCCTGGGCATGATGTGCTGTGGTATGGAATACTTCTTTGGTCAGTTTGGGTCAGGTGTCCTGTCTCTGCTTCCTCCCGGCTTCCCCTCTTCCCTGGCAGAGCATGAGACTCATGAAGTCCTCAGTCAGTCTAAACATTTGAGCAGTAACTAAAAACATCGGTGTTATCAGTGCTGTTCCCAGGCTGAAAGTCAAAACCACAGCACTGCACCAGCTACTAAGAAGGAGAAAAATGACTGCTACTGCTGAACCCAGGGCAGTTATTAATTAATATATTACATAAGATCTGTCTCCTCAGAAAAGTCTGCTAATAATTTCCTTATTGTCCAAGAATAGCCATTTTCTTAACAAACTATAATAGATCACCTTTAACTATGTTATCACCAATTTAATAATTCTTCCACTGATCTCCAGTCTTCTGCAGTCAACATACCATATACTCAGGAGAAAAACCTAAGTAATAATGACGCAGCTTTTGTTTTGCAGAAAGATCAGCAAGCCTAGAGTGCTAATTCTGAGCTGGGTGCCACTACGCTAACATGCCATTCTTGAAGGCAATATATTGTGGAGCACAACACAGCACTTTAGTATTTCTGCAAGGAAAGCTGTGTAATAAAGAGGGTATTTTGGAAGACAACTGTGAGGTTTTTCTGTTATCTTTGTTCTTCTTTTGTTGCACAAGTGACCATTCTGCAGGTGGTTGTCGTGGTTTAAACCCAGTCAGGTAACTTGTTCACTCACTCCCAGTGAGTGGTGCCGAGCTGACAACAATCAAGGTCCGTGTCCGTCTCCCCCCCCCCCCCCGCACCGGGGCTCTCCCCTTCCCCGTTCCCGGAGGAACGGGGAGGAGGATCGAGAGAGTGCAACTCCTACGGGTTGAGATAAGAACAGTTTAGTAACTAAGGTATAACACAAATCACTACTGCTACCACCAATGATAATAATGATAAAGGAAATAACAAGGGAAGAGAATACAACACCTCAGCACCAGCCGACCGATAACTTGCCCCCCCCAGCCCCGACCAAGCACCAGCCGATACCTCCTCCAACCCTGCAGTCTCCCAGCCCTTCCGGCTAACTCCCAGTTACATCCTGGGCATGACGTGCTGTGGTATGGAATAGCTCTTTGGTCAGTTTGGGTCAGGTGTCCTGTCTCTGCTTCCTCCCGGCTTCCCCTCCTCCCTGGCAGAGCATGAGGCTCACAAAGTCCTTGGCCAAACCAAAACATCTCTATCAGCTCTGTTCCCGAGCCGAAAGTCAAAACACTGCACTGCACCAGCTACCAAGGAGGAGAAACATGACTGCTACTGCTGAACCCAGGACAGTGGTCTAGGATTCCTTCCCCCATTTCAGAAATTTGGACTATGCTTTTAAGCTGGAAGCAGCTTGAATCTGAGATTGCTCATTGGCTTATCCGTGCAGGCCATATCATATTCAGAGTAGCTCTGTGCAAACCCTATGGGTGTCTCTTCGCTGTGGCATCTCTGCAGATCAGGCTTTGTGCCAACCGTAATATAGTCTCACTCACCCAACTCCATATTCCAGCTACTGAACACCAGCAAACACAAAATGGCTTTCCACACAGCTAACTGCAGTGTTTCAATGTCCACTGCCCAGATAATTAAAAACCCAGATAAACTGCTAAATAACATAGCTGACTTATTACATTTGCAGATTTTTCAAGGATACTGGACTCTCCTGCTTCTGTTTCAATACAAAATCAAACCAACCAACACAGTTCCTGGACCTTCAATTAAACATCCCAATTCTTTCTGAATTTTGGGGCTGAAATTTTCTACTCTTCCCTGTCAAATCCCTGTCTCCCAGTCTAAATTCATTGAATTCTCTGGGTTTGCTTGCCTCTTGGCTGTAGTTATTTCCCTCTCCCCTTTCCTTCCTGTTAGTCACTCCTGGATCTGACATCACCTTCAGCATCCCCATCCCTAATGACAAGGGACAAAATTTTTTTGTAGTTTTGAAGCCATGCCAAGCAAATACTATTTATTCCATTCCAATGTCCTGTTTTTTCTTCACTCTCTATTTAATCACCAGTTAATACTTTTCTTTTGCTTGCATTTTTACCCTTTTGACTTTTGCACTCGATTTTAGTTGCTGATTAGTCCTTTTTCATTTCATTCCCTGAAGGCACACTGCTTACGTCTCATATGCTTTCTGAGACAGTTATTTGTTCAGTTGGGACAGATAAGCCCTTTGCCCTGCTGTTTTTCATATTTGCACTACAAGTTCAACATACTTTTACCTTACATGAGTTAAAGAAATTTCTATCCTCCCCCATAATCAAGTCCCAGTTTTCCACTTAATTTAAATTAGTAGGCTTGTAATCACTGCAATCTGATCTTTACCCCTACATCTCAAGAAAACTAAGGCCAAAATGCTATCATGCTGCTTGTGTAACTCTTTGGTAACCACAGAATAACGGGGTCCTACTATTAAGTTTGCGTGTTTAGTTCTTGTAACAAAACAGTACCCTCTACTTCCCACCAGCAGTCTTTTCAGAACATTTTCTAGATTAAAATTCTGAAAAATTGAGGTCCTTATTCTATGTAATCTACATGTTTTCCCTCAATTTCCCTTCCTTATGTTCTGGCTGGTTACCAGACACTTCTCTTAAAGCTAGTGACCTGCCACAGGTGGTTTCAGCTGGAAGAGGAGGAGGAGGAAGGCCACATGGACACACAGGTAACACACAACCGCACAGATATGGTGGGGAATTACTGATGCAACAATGGAGTGATCCACATGCAATACAAACACGGCATCGCCCAGCTGGACAGTGTTTACAGTCTCTGTTTCCCCACATCCATGGTTCTTCGGCCTCAGGGAACACAAGTGGGAAACCATCCACCTGCGGCGGGATGGCAGCCACGGCTCGCACGTGGAGCCCGTTTCTCCCTGCTCCTCCGGGCCTCATTAAAGACTCCCTCAGAGTCTGAGAGGACCCGCCGTGACTCGGGAGGTGCCGAACTCGCCTCGCCGACGTCCGAGGCAGTTGCCGCGGTGTACGCTGGGTAGCGTCATGCCGTGGTTACCGTTGCTAGGCGGGCGGCGCAGTCCGGTGGCGCTCGGCTGGCCGCGATGGTGAAGGAAACTATCCTAGTATACGCCCGGGTGAAGCCGCTGGGCAGGCGCCAGGAGGCGGGGGTATGATGGGGGACAGCTGCTGTTCTGGCGTGGGTGGGGGGGCGGAGTGGGGCGAGCCGGAGGGCATCCCTGGGGCTGCCTGAAGGTGGGAGGGAGCGGGCAGTGAGCGTGTCCCGTCTCATTCCCCTAGCAAAAGGCACCGGCGGCCCGCGGGAGCTGAGGGGTTTTCACGTGGTCGGGTGGGGAGCAAAAGCCACAGCCCTGGACTGTTCTCCGAAGCCTTAAGAAGTTAATAAAATCACCGAGTACAGGAGTTTAGGTTTAACTACTAGGGAAGGGGGTGAGGAACTTCTTTTCTGCCTACTTGTTGCAGGAAGGCTCCAGAGTAAAATCACCTGATGCTGGTTATTCAGAACAGTTCAACACTGTTCTGAATGTTGGACGGGGATGTGTAGCTGCCAGTCTGTAGCAGTCCTGGAAAGGGGTAATAACGGTGATCAGAAATCATGCATTTAGGTCTCTTCATTGTCTTGCTGTTTTAAACTCTATTCGTTCTGGTTTACTCTTTGCTAATTTATTCTTGCAGGTTTTTTGGAGAGGGTTGCTTTAAGGCTCTCTGCTTTTTTTTTTTTACAACATCTCGGATATTAAAGTGGTTTAGTAAGCAAATTATGTCAAAGAGACAGTGGTTCTGTTTCAAATCTTATGGTAGTGTTTGCATGGTAACAAACAGGATGATAATAGCTGAAGGAGGATCTGCTCAGGTACTAAGTGAAATTTGCATGACTTTTTTTTCCTTCAGGCGCTAAGCTTACATAAGTGTTGTACATAAGGACTGTACTGTGCTACTGTGAAAATTATTTTGCTAATTCGTACCCATGCTTATTAGATCTATTCAATTGAGGATGATGAGAAATCTCTGTCCACTCTGGAGATTATTGTGCCACATGATTTAGCAGATGGTGTCGTCAATAATAAACGAGAGAGCTACAAGTTCAAGTAAGTAAAAGGCTTATCATCATATCTTCTGCCCTCGATTAATATCACTTTGTGTAGTTATAAAGGATGTAGTGATACAGATCTACAGAACCAGGAAAAGCCCATTCTTAAAATTGTTTTGGTAGAGATAAGTTTGTTTTCTTGTCGCTCCCTTAACAAGAGGCATAATCCAGCATATTATACTCTTCACCTGCATAAACTTGATAGCATTTGATAAAGTTGTGGAGGTTTTGTCTATCCGTTGCAATCTTTGAGATGATACTTAGAAATATATAATGACTTGCATCTTCATTTATCAGCTCTGCCATTACTACAGCTTGTTTTGGATTTGTGTATGAATGCAGGACTGTGTGTGTTCTCTTGTTACCTAATGAGTTGGCATAGGCTGGCTAAAGATGTCTTGACGCAAAACACTCTGTTTAGAAATCGTTTCAGACATAACCAAACCATGGTAAAGAAAAACAGAGATTGTTGAAAGAAATAAAACCCTTGTTGTAGAATGTAAATATTTTTTAGAAACTAAAAATAAAGCAATATCAATAAAATAGTTTTCTTTTTGACAGAAAACTTGGAAGCAGCATTTAAAGTTTTGATGATGAAGAAAGCTAGATGTATAACCACTTGTAATAATGAGGTTGAGGTAGTCTTTTTCCGGGTTGAATATGCTTTATTTTATAATACCAAATCAAGTAAATTTGTTACTCTGTGTTGTTAAAACTGAAGTCCCAGATAAACGGCTGCATCTCGGACTGATGTCATTTTATATCAGCTAAAGAGATCTGTTCTGCTTGGGAAGAGATAAGTTGCCCTCTCCAACTAGATTTGTATGCAAAACTAGCTTAGGTTGCAGATGCCTGAGTGAGCTGTAATGAATGTTGATATTTTTTCTGACTTTATAACTTATTAAAAAATCCATAGAGATAGAACTGAGAAAAGCTGTGCCTTATTAAGACAAAGCAAAAATAATGCTATAGAGAAAACATTTCTTTTTCCTCTGTAAAACTCATGCTTTCTTGAAGTCTGTTTATCCTAGTCACCTCAAACAGTAGTCTCCTTTGCTCTTACGCCCTTATATAGGGATCAAGTGAGTATACATTTACAGATAGGAGGGAGGGCACAAGCAGTATGGGAGGTTTCTGGAGTGTTTGGATGAAAACTTCCTAACCTGTGGTTAAAAGGCTGAGGAGGGGAGAAGCTCTTCTGCATCTCATATTTGCAAACATAGAAGAACTGATCAGGGGTATTAAACTGGGTGGTAGCCTTGCTTGCAGTGGCCATGATATGCTGAAGTTCAGCATACTGACAGAAGGGAGCAAGGCAGAAAGTAGGATTACAACCCTGTATTTGAGATCAAACTGAGGAGAGGTCAGATGTTGGCCTATTCAGAGACCTGCTTGAAAGAATTCCATGAGACACAACCCTGGTGAGAAGTCAAAGAGCTGGCCAATTTTCAAGGATCACCCCCTCCAACAGTCCATCCTGATGAATGGGAAATGATGCAAAGGCAGCAGGAGAAACAGCTCCTGACTAAATGCAAACATAGAAAGGAAGTGTACAAGAGCTGGGAGCAGCGTCAGGTGACCAGTGAAGACTTGTGTGAAGAATGGATTTAGGAAAGCCAGACAGTTGTGCTGCCATTCAGAGGGACCTCAAGAAGCTGGAGAAATGGGCCAATATGATTCTCAGGAAGTTCAACAAAGTGAAATGCCAAGCTCTGCTCCTGGTGACAATAACCAGGGCAGGCTCAGGGCTGACTGGAAGCAAGTTCGCAGGAAAAGACCTGGAGTCCTGGCAGACAAAAAGTTGAACATAAGTCAGCAATACACCATTTGTGGCAAAGGTGTTAGGAAGAGCATTGTCAGCAGTTCAAGGGAGTTGATCCTTCCCGTCCAGTGAGATCATATCTGGAGTTCTGTATTCAGTACTGAGCTCCAGCAAAGGGACACAAAGATGATTAAGGGATTGGAGTGTCTGACATGTGAAGAAAGGCTGAGAGACCTGGATTGTTTATCCTGGAGAAGAGAAGGCTCAAGGGGATTTTATCAATATGTATAAACATCTGATGGGGAAGGGGGAAATAAAGAAGACTGAGCCAGATGCTTTTAAGTGGTGTCCAATGACAGGGCAAGTGTTAATGGGCAAAAATTGAAATACAGGAAATGTGAAAGTGTGTTTGTTTGTTTGTTTGCTTGTTTTGCTGTGGGGTAATCAAATACAGGAACAGGTTGCCCACAGAAGCTGTGAAGATACTCAAAAGCTGACTAGATGGACCCCTGCTCTACCTGACTTTTCTTTGAGCAGTGGGATTGGAGCAGAACATCCCTTCCAACCTTCTATGATTCTGGAAGACAACTTCAGATATCTTATACAGGAAGTGTCAAAACATAGGTTGACTTGAATGTCTCCTTGTGACTTACAGTAACTGTGCAGCAGAATGAAGGAAGTAGTTATGAAAAAAACATGAGCCTGGCTATAATGGTGGGATGCTGTATTTGGTTATAGTGTAATCTATTTGTCCAGGTTTCAGTGTGGTGCCAGTTACAAACACTGATTCTCTTGATAGATTTAAAATACCGTTTATTTTTTTTCTAAGCCACATCATTTTATCAGAGGATTTGATTGTACAGATCTTTTCAAAGCAGCACTGTGTACAGCCTATTTATATACAATTAACCACAGCGTGCTGTTGTGCTAGACTACAGGGAAAACATTGTACTAAGTTATGTAAGCCTAATGATGTAAACATTGACTATTACAAAGACAAACAAAAATGTATGAATCAAGTAGTGTTTTAAGATTCTAAGCAATTATTATTTGCTTAATATTTTCAGATTTCAGAAAATTTTTGATCAAGAGGCAAAACAAGATGTGGTTTTTGACAGCATTGCCAAACCAGTAGCAGAATGGTATGTTGTTATCTTGGGAGTAAGTGGGGTGACACACAGTCAAAAGTAGATTTCATTGTATTAGAATCATAGAATAGTTAGGGTTGGAAAGGACCTTAAGATCATCTAGTTCCAAACCCCTGCCATGGGCAGGGACACCTCACGCCAAACCATATCACCCAAGGCTCTGCCCAACCTGGTCTGGATCACCTTCAGGGATGGAGCATTCACAACTTCCCTGTGCAACCTATTCCAGTGCCTCACCACCCTTACAGTAAAGAATTTCTTCCTTATATCCCATCTAAAGTGATATACTTCCCTTGTTTAAGGGAACTTCCCTTGTTTAAGTTTGAACCCATTACCCCTTGTCCTATCACTACAGTCCTTAATGAAGAGTCCCCCCCCAGCATCCCTATAGGCCCCCTTCAGCTGCTGGAAGGCTGCTATGAGGTCTCCACGCAGCCTTCTCTTCTCCAGGCTGAACAGCCCCAACTTTCTCAGCTCATCCTCATACGAGAGGTGCTCAAGCCCCCTGATCATCCTCATGGCCCTTCTCTGGACTTGTTCCAACAGTTTTGTGTCCTTTTTATGTTGAGGGCACGAGAACTGCACACAATACTCCAGGTGAGGTCTCATGAGACCAGAGTAGAGGGCAAGAAGGTGCAACGGGTTAAAACTTAAACAGGGGAAGTTTAGATTGGATATAAGGAGGAAATTCTTTCCTGTTAGGGTGGCGAGGCACTGGAATAGGTTGCCCAGGGAGATTGTGAATGCTCCATCCCTGGCAGTGTTCAAGACCAGGTTGGATGAGGCCTTGGGTGATATGGTTTAGTGTGAGGTGTCCCTGCCCATGGCAGGGGAGTTGGAACTAGATGATCTTAAGGTCCTTTCCAACCCTAACGATTCTATGATTCTAAGAACTGCTTGAAGAAGAGCTGGTTAGTGGTTTTCTCACTGCTATAAAAGCAGACTGATGTTTGAATTTTCTAAATACTGGCATATCTAAGAGATATGCAACAGTCCCGAAAGAATTTTATGTATGGTAAGGTTCCATTTTTAACTCCTAAAATAACATTGCTACTATTGCTGTATTTTGTTGCATAGACATAGAAATCTATGTCCAATTGGTTTTTTGTATATGTAAGCTCACTTCATTGCCTTAGGAAAGTATTCCCTATGTAGTTCCATGAAGGGGTAAACCTAATGAAAATCTTAACCCCCTGTTTAGTTTTTATTTGGGGACACTCATGAATTAATAACTCTGGAGATAGTCTTAAATTTTGCCCTACTTATTTTTGTTTTAAATTTTAAGGCACTGGTTTTGTTTTTCTCCTCCATAAAATAACCAACAATGCTAGTATTTTAGAGTTTGCAAAGGCAAGCAGGTAAGACTTCTACATGAGTCTTCTTCATTCATTGTGCTGAACTGGGAGGATTTTCCAATGTCCTCTTTCCTCAGCTTATGCCTACATTGCTGATGTTAGCACTGGTTTTAGTGCGGGAGAAAATCCCATACTGGAGGAAGCAGAATTTCTGCATCATGTTTCATCAAGCTTTCTGCTCAGAATCCGAATTTGTGAATTGGGAAGTATTACTTTAGGTATCAACTTCTTTCGCATTCATTGTCTGACTGTTGTGGTTTAAGGCCAGCTGGTAACTCAGAACCACTTAGCCGCTCGCTCGCTGCCCCGACTTCTTCCTCCCCCTACTCCCGGAGGGATGGGGGGAAGAATTCAAAGAATGTAACTCCCATGGGTTGAGATAAGAACAGTCCAGTAACTAAGGTATAGCACAAAACCAACTACTGCTACCACCAATAATAATAATGATAAGGGAAATAACAAGGGGAGAGAATACAACCACTCACCACCCGCCGGTTGATACCCAGCCTGATCTGAGCGGTGACCTAACTCTTCCAGGTAACTTGCCCCACTTATATACTGGGCATGATGTGCTGTGGTATAGAATACCCTTTGGCTAGTCTAGGTCAGGTGTCCTGTCTCTGCTTCCTCTCGACTTCCCCTCCTCCATGGCAGAGCATGAGACTCAGAAAGTCCTTGGTTTGAGTAAACATTACTTAGCAACAACTAAAACCATCGGTATTATCAGCGTTGTTCCCAGGCTGAAAGTCCAAATTGCAGTACTGCATCAGCTACTAAGAAGGAGAAAAATGGCTGCTATAGCTGAACCCAGGATAGTACCCACCCCTTATTCCATGCTTTCTTGTCATGCTCAGATCCTACATTTTTTTAATATGCCATTGCTTTTATCATATGTATATATGCACCCATACCCACACAAAGAGAGAGATATCATTCCTTACTGCATGGAACAATCCCTATGAAGCTGCTGAGTTCATCCGGTCCATGATGTCAGGCTCCATCTCTTGTAACAGTCTTTCAGAGCAGGAGAGAGAGTGTGCACTGTTGGATTGTTGCCTGCTGATGACACCACCAAACTCGTCTGGTCACTGCTGAACTTGTCTGGTTTTGTCAAAGTTCATTCTTTGTTGGAATGGTGGTTGGAGGGAAGTCAGGGCCAGCCACTGGTGGCCTGCAGCCCTCTAGTTGGTGGGCTATAAAGGTGCTACATAGCAGGCAATAGCATATAATTGAGTTCATTGGCTGTTTTCTCCTAAAATCGAATCCCCTTGAGGTACACATGCAACTTCCCCATCTTCCCGCATTACCTATCAAATATATCCAGGTCCCTGAGCAAAAGCAATCCCACAAGTGAGTTTGCCTTTACCTGAAGCAGGAATAACCCAGGCTGTCTTCCCCAGCAAATTCTTTATGTGCACTACAGGAACCTTGTCCCCCTCTACAATATGTAAAAGTTGTGACTGGGTTGGGCCAGCCCTGTTGGGAGATCCTCTGGTGTTGACCAACCAGGTGGCTTTTGGTAAATGTGTATCCCAATGTTAGAAAGTCCCACCACCCGTTGCTCTCAGTGTAGTTTTTAACAGCCCATTGTACGGTTCAATTTTCCCAGAGTCTGGTGCATGGTAGGGGATGTGATATCCCTACTCAATGCCATCCATGCTCTTTGGCCCAAGTGTCTATAAGGTTGTTCCAGAAATGAGTCCCATTGTCTGACTCAGTTCTCTCTGGGGTGCTGTGTCACCACAAGATTTGTCTCTCAAGGCCCAGGATAGTGTTCTGGGCAGTGGCATGGGGCACAGAATCTGTTTCCAGCCATCCGATGGTTGCTTCCACCATGGTAAGCACATGGCGCTTGCCTTGGTGGGTTGGTGGGAGTGTGATATAGTCAGTCTGCCAGGCCTCCCCATATTTGTACTTCAGCCATCATCTGCCATACCAAAGAGGCTTTAACCGCTTGGCTTGATTAATTGCAGCCCAGATTTCACACTCATGAATAACCTAGGCAATAGTGTCCGTTGTTAAGTCCACCCCTCGATCACGGGCCCTTCTGTATGTTGCATCTCTGCCCTGATGGCCTGAAGTGTCATGGGCCCACTGGGCCAAAAATAAGTCACCTTTATGTTGCCCATCTAAATCCTTCTGAGCCACTTCAATCTTAGCAGCTTTATCCACTTGTTGGTTGTTCTGGTGTTCCTCAGTGGCCCAACTCTTGGGTACATGAGCATCTACACAGCATAACTTCACCGCCAGGGTCTGCACCCAGGCAGTGATATCTTGCCACAGTGCAGCAGCCCAGATGGGTTTACCTCTGCATTGCCAGTTGCTCTGCTTCCATTGCTGCAACCACCCCCACAGGGCATTTGCCACCATCTATGAGTCAGTATAGAGGTAAAGTACTGGCCACTTTTCTCATTCAGCAATGTCCAAAACCAGCTGGATGGCCTTTACCTCAGCAAACTGACTCAATTCACCCTCCCCTTCAGCTGTTCCTGCAACTTGTCATCGAGGACTCCATACAGCTGCCTTCCATCTCTGATGCTTTCCCACAATACGGCAAGAGCCATCCGTAAACAAGGCATACTGCTTTTCACTTTCTGACAGTTTATTATAGGGTGGGGCCTCTATAGCACGCATCACCACCTCCTCCTCTGGTGACATTCCGAAATCTTTGCTCTCTGGCCAGTCCATGATAACTTCTAGAATGCCTAGACAACTGGGATTTCCTATTCGAGCTCATTGTGTAGTTAGTGCAGCCCGCTTAATCCATGTAGCATCGGTTGCACAATGTGTAAAGGAGACCCTGCCTTTGAGCATCCAGGCCAGCAGGGGCAACCGGGGTTCCGGGAGGAGCTGTGCTTCAGTGCCAATCACTTCCGAAGCAGCTCGAACCCCTTTGTAGGCTGCCAGTATCTCTTTCTCAGTTGGGGTATAGCTGGCCTCACATCCTCTGTATCCCCAACTCCAAAAGCCGAGGGGTCGACCTCGAGTCTCCCCTGGAGCTTTCTGCCAGAGGCTCCAGGTGGGATCATTCTCCTCGGCTGCGGTGTAGAGGACATTTTTTACATCTGGCCCTGTCCAGGCTGGTCCAAGGGCCACTGCATGAACTATCTCTCATTTAATTGTTCGAAGGTTTGTTGCTCAGAGCCCCATTTGAAATCATTCTTCTTCTGGGTCACATGATAAAGAGGGCTTACAATCAAATTGTAATTTGAGATGTGCATTCTCCAGAACCCTCTCCAGAACCCCACAACACTGAAGAAAGCTTGTGTTTCTTTCTTATTAGTTGGTGGAGACATAGCTGTTATCTTGTTGATCACATCTGTGGGGATCTGGCGACTTCCATCTTGCCATTTTATTCCCCAAAATTGAATCTTCTGTGCAGATCCCTTGACCTTTCTCCATTTTATGGCAAAAAAATGGCTTTTAGCAGGATTTGGGTTATTTGCCTCCCTTTCTCAAAAAGTTGTTCTGCTGTATTGCCCCACACAATAATGTCATCAATGTATTGCAGGTGTTCTGGAGTTTGCCCTGTTCCAGTGCAGTCTGGATCAGTCCATGGCAAATGGTAGGGCTGTGTTTCCACCCCTGGGGCAATTGGTTCCAAGTGTACTGGACGACCCTCCAAGTAAAAGCAAACTG